ACAAAAGCAACAAAGTTGCAGCAGAAAATTAGGAAAACTTGGATCTGATTTAATTACCAGGTTTTTTACATGCTCAAAATGTTCCCGGAAGCCTGCAAGAAAATTCCTTCAGAAAAAATTTTTTTCTCTGCAACAGTTAGAATTCCTTTTGCCTAAATTTCTTTTTATCATCTTTTAATGGAATTATTTGCTTAGACTTTGCTATGAGACCCCTGAAAGAATCTAGATTTCCAAGACTGACAAAGTTATTTGTTCATTTAAAACAAATTTGATTAAAACCTGTTGTACGTGAATGGCAGCCTCTTCCAAGTACATTCTTAAATGTAATAAACAGAAAGTACTTAATACTTACAAGCTTATATTAAATCGAATTTGCAGCTAAGGTTTGAAGAACAACTTCTATTCCAGACTAAGTTTTTTATCCTTCAACATTTCAAATGAGAACCTTCGAGCAAGTACATATAATGTATTTCTCTTCTCTTGAGGTTACTACTTCTGTTCAAAATTTAACTTGTTTGACTTTTTCCTCACAATTAGATTTTGTCATATCTTTGCCTGACAGGCTAAGGAAACCTAGAAGTATTTTGCCTGTTCAAGTATACTTGTAAAACCATTCAGCCATCTTTGAAACTTTTTTATCAGACACTTTTTAGAACACATTTAAAAAATTTTAATTGTCATATCATAAGAAATATATGACAAAATGTATATTAGATGTTTAATGCCTTTTTATCTAGTCACACTTGTATGGCTCAAATGGTTAAAACTAATGAGCAACATATGATTTTACTGAAGGATTTTAGCACCACATGTAAATCTATCTAAACTCTAAGCGTAAAATTTGACGAGCCATACCACAGGAACTCAAAAGCAGTGTAGCTTTACTACTGCCGCGATGGAATGGGATACAAAGACTGACTGCATCAGATGGCTATCTACTCTCTGTCAGCAACCATATGCTCTCCTAAGTTAAATCAGTACTATTAAAAACTGCTTTGCATGTACTTATATGTAGAAGTTTTAACCTACCTGTTAATGGAATTTCCCTGAGCAATTCCCCCAGCATGAAAGTGTAAGAGTCCCCTGAAGCTAGAACAGTTGGACTACTTGCTGTAAAATTTTTGCTAAAAGCCTGATTTGAGCTGCTTTAACAGTAATAGTGAAGCTCAGTTCTGTTATCTAATCAGCACAAAATTTTAATTCTCAACTTTATCTATCCACCACAGCTTCAAGACTACGAAAATTTACAGGAGTGTGATTCTCCAGGTTGGGATGATGGTGAAGTTTTCCTCCTCTACATGAGTTTCTTTTACACTAAAGCTAACACAAATTTCATAGTGAGAGATAAAATCAGGTTCCACTTTGTATTTCTTGGCAAAGGCTTCAGTCAAGAAAAAAGCATATTGCTATCAGTCTCTCTAAATCGGGGGAGCAATTTTAATATTAGAAAGAGCAAAAATAAGTTAAAGAGTGAATGGTACAGGAGACCACAAACTGACATTTTATTCTTCCCAAGTAAGTTACCAAGTAGAAAAATAATTTAAACCAAGCAACTACAGCAAACAAGTATTGTTTTCATATACAGACTGTTTTCATTACACTAATCTACTTCTATTCAGTCCAATACACTTTACTTCTATCATGTTCCTGTACCCCATCCTTTTTTCGTCCTGAGCTGCATCTGCTTTCCTGTTTTCTCATCTCCAAGAAACTCCTCGGTTATCTGATTACCTTTTCATCGGAAAACCGTCATCATCCAGTCAGTCCTCTTTCTGGGACCTCCTTTAAGTACATCTCTGATCCACTTTTCCTATTGATGACTGGTAGCTGCACCACGACGGGTGGCTCCCAGTCCCTCTCCTGTCTACCACTGACCCCCAGTGGTTACAACTGTATTTGCTCTGTCTCATTGTTTTCAGACTGCTGCTGCTTCTATGGAATGAAGGTTGGATCATGCTAGGACATCTGGAAGCAAACAAGAATCAGCATTGTATGACCACTGTTTCATGGCCACTGATCACAGAATCAAAGAATAATTTAGGTAGAAAGGAGCCTCTGGAAGTCACCCGGTTCAACAACCCCTGCTCGTAGCAGTTCAGATTGTTTGGGACTTTATTCAACTAGATAGAAATTCCACAGACTCCAGGCAATCTGTTCCAATGTCTGTTAATCTCATTGAGAAAACATTTTTCCCAATATTTAATTAGAATTTCCCTTGTTACAACTTGTGTTCAAATCAAAGTGGCTCAGTTACACATGCAAAAGAAAGGAAGAGGAGGAAGAGGCAGCTATTCTCAGAGAACAGGATCCCTCTTGAGACACTGTCCAATCTCCCCGGCAAAAGGAAATGTTTAGTTATGTAAAAGTCTTATCTGCCCATATCTATACCTTTGTGTAGTGGTGGAAAGAGATCAGGCCCCGATTACAGCATAATTCCACTTCCAAGAAGGATAGTTGTAAACAAAAGCAAACCCCAAAAGGTCAGGAGTAACAGAACTGGTCAATTTACAAAATCTCACACAGTTTTTCCTTTAGACTTTGTTACGCAGAATGCAAAGCTCTCAGATCACTTACAGATAAGTATTCTTTTTACAAGAATGCACGTTTCACTGTTTGAAGAGATGTAGCCTATTCTATTTTTAACATTAAATCTTTATTTTGAAGATAATCTAATGAAACTGAAGTAGTTATATAATGTGATTTTAAGCTAACCATTATTTAAACAATTGCTGATCAAGCACATAGAGTTTCAAAGAACAAAAAAAAAAAAAAATCCTACTGCATATGACAAAATGCCAGTTAACAAAATTATCCAAATTGAATTCCAGACAGATTGCCCATCATTTTTTCCAAGACTATTGATTCAAACATTAAAGCAAACATTCATCTTAAAGTTTTCTATGCATGTCACACTTTCAGCTCTATCCAGTTATTAAGTAAAAATGAATTATTTCATCATTAAAGCAGTACACATAATGAAAATATACCTGAATGCAGAATACTTGGTAAGATTTGAGCTGTCTTCAATGTTCCATTGGTTTGTATTGATTTTAGGGCTAGTCTAACATTCAGTATGCCAGTGACAATGAATAAGCCTAATGCATTATGTAAGTGTAAGCTGATTAAATCCTTGATCCTGAAGCCACCTCTTTTTCCCCCTCCCCCTCCGATTTAAAACTTGGTACAATTGAAAATTTTAGTTTTATACACTTTCAAAACCTAATTTGCACCATTTTTGTCATAAAACCCACCACAATTTACATTAATATAACCCCTTCAGATTTTAGTCTTTCTTGTGTTTCAGTAATTTCCTAAACCTGGTAAAAGTCCATTTTAAAGTGATCAGTTCCCTAATAAATTTTAATTTTGTGGCCAAACTTTTGGGGTTTTTTAAAAATATATACTGAATGGCACACAGGTAGCAGTGTTATTCAAGTTACCAGGTCTGAGCTTTACCCACAAAAATTAACAGCAAATTGAACTAAATACAAAGCCATGCTATCATAAACTTTAGTGCTGCCAAGAAGTGAGATTATAAGGCATACTGCACATGCCAGTCCTAATTTCCAAAGACGCTATGTCTCAAATGAAGTATATGTCCTATGACTTACATGGAGGAATAGATCAGGGGAGGTCATGAAAGAGTTATGTTCCCCTAGCACATTATAGCACTATGATCTCACTACATTGTCAATATGACAATGGAAGCAGGATAAACGGATCTGTGCAGCAGAGGATATCAGCTAGTGTTCTCTACAGAAAAGGAACGCAGAAAGCAATACATGATTAACTGTTTTGAATAGGGAAAAAAATCCTTCCACTAGGCCCACATGCCATACACAAAACAAGCTGCTAAGAGCTGCAGACTGACTGAACAACTTTGTTGCTGTGTATTTTTGTGTGTGTGTGTGTGTGAATTTTAGATGCCAATTATCAGGCAATATATAAGCACAGAATTGTTTAATCTGCACAATTATTTTTAACATTTTAGTTCTTTCCTTAAGACATTTCAGCTTGAAAAACCTAATTTGTTTGCTTTTAATTTAAAGTATTATTTTACCCTGAGAAAGAGCCCTACGCATAACTGGAAATTGACAGTGCTTCATAGAGACAATACAACTATGAATTGGTGAGCTCAAATCTTTTTATTGAAATTTAAAAATGTTTAAAAATAGTCAACTATAGCTATAGTGCCTCAGTAAAGGCAGCAGAATGGCCCTGAGCAAATGAGAGCAGAATATGCTCTGTAGAGTCTTCATTAGTATCGAGGATGAGAAGAGAAAGAAAGTAAAGTAAGTTTCAGCTCAGGAGTAGAAGGTTTTTAAGCCATGGTAATTTTGAAAGAGATATACTACATTTTACTTGTAAAAGAGAAAATGTTCATGCCAGGATTCACTGAATACCACCAAACAGGTTGCCTATGCTATGTAATGTGTATTTTAAATTAGAAATAAACTAGTAATATTTTAGTAAAAAAATTAAAACTAGGTGTAGAAAGGAACCAAGTGCACAAAAACCAGTATAAAGAGGTGGCTCTGAGGGATATGCAACCCCTTCTACCAGCATCTGAAAACATCCCAATCCATAGATACATTCTCATGTTTTAACATATGAGGCTGTCATGAATCAATACCAGTGAGATAAATCAAACAAGAAAATATGTCTGGACAGGCAATACTAGTATGAAAGAATAATGTAGCTGTTTTTTCCTTCACACAGGATGAATAAGACAGAGGAAGACAGATTAGAAAATGTCGTAATTAATAAGACTCCAGGGGCCTCCCACATCACATAAGTGAATTTCTTTCTAGACAGAAAATTTAGAGTAGTTCATGAAAAAGCCATATTCTCCCATTCACTTTAAAACAAACAAACAATCAGAACAACATCTATACATTTTCCACCAGTTCCCACCATAACAGATCTTGAAAAACAAGAATTTTAAAAACATCAAATATTTGAGTGGAATTGATCCAAAACCTTTAGGATTTATTACATACCCCATTCTCTGTACGTTTCTCCACAGGTATATTTATGCCATTTCTTTGATTTTGGGCTTGACGTCCACCTAAAAGTTAAGTATCACTCTTAGTGCAAAGTTCAGTTTTCAACACAAATGGTTTTCACTCTTCAATCTGTTCAAGAATTTTTATATACAGCTTTTACCTGTGAATTTTTATTCTGCTAGTTCCAATTCTTTCTTATTAGGTTATTCTTTGTAAGCAGTGGAGTCAGCAGAAATAAAGCATTTACTTCACGGACTTCCTCTGTTAAAAGTACAGACATGCAACTCTACTTTTCTGACTTGTGTTTAGGCAATGATGTCATGAAAGGGAATGTACTGAGTGTGACTACTGAAGTTTCATATTTCTGTGTCCACAAGAAGCAGTAGCTTCAGTTGAATACATTATAAATGAATATAGTAGAGGAAGCTTTTCTAATGCCTTATAAACAACTTTAATCTACAAATTGATCCATAGGTCAATGATTAATTAAAAAACCTTGCGTGCATGGTTCAGAAGCAACATTTTCCTTGTACATGAAACTCTGTGGCTTCAGATGTATCTTATATTTCTTAACATACTTTAAATTTGTATTGCCCAAAGGATGACCGAGTATTTTACAAAGTACCTAATTAATACAAAAATCCCTTATACATTATTGGGCCTGCTACTTCTAGCATTCAAAGCAACCAGGAACCACTTAGAAATACAAAAAGAAACCCCAGCTCAAAGCAAGTCAGCCAAGACTTGAAATTTGGTTGTTAGGAGTAGTCAGATTAGTTGAATGAGTAAGGATAATCTGAGCATGCAAATATACATCTCACTTCGAGATACCTTTCCTATCCTTCAGACAGTCTGACAGCCATCAAGTATATAATGCACAGCCTCAAAAGTCTTCTCATAAAGTACAGTCTATACTAGTTAGATGAGAAAACTGAAATCCTTCTATTTTTTATTCCAGTCTTTTAAGAAAGCCCCACTTAATACAGCACTGTTTTATATAAACACTTTTCCTGTAGAACCAAGCAGACCAGCAATTTTTCAAGGTGCGAATTATCACCACTATTAAATATACCTACATGAAGTACTAAGAAAGTAAAGCCACTGAGACCTCTGCCAATGATGTCTGTAAAATAGATTTCAGTTTCTAAAGGAGGCAAAGTAGTTTACTAAGTCTTTTCTCTGGGGCAACTGAAAGAGAACAGGAGGTCAAAAAGAACAATCCCACCCTCTCAAAATGTAGGGACTTTCTCTCAACAAGAAAAAAAATGCATTAAGCCTCTAATACCCACCAACATTTTCGGATCAGTATTAAGCAGAATAGAAACCGGTTTTACTACAAAAATATTACTCAGACTGGTAGAAATTATTCTAGAGAAGGGAATTTGAGAACATGAATAAATGTGCCACTGAGGAAGGTTCAAAATGGCTTTGGTATAAGAAAGTTGTATTACATATACCTACTCAAGTTCACTGAATGAACTGATAATCAAACTCACTTCAGAAATCTTTTAAATATGTTTAGGTAACAACACTACAGGGTAAGTGTACTTACTCTGTTCATTACTTTCGGCTGGTGACTCCTCATGACGAAGAAAAAATTTCACCTCTTCCCTGCGGGGACCCCATTTCTGTAGGTGGTCATACATCATGTGATCAAAGGGTATGGGACGTTCTGAAAGTATAAGACCAAAAAAACTTATCACAACTATTTTAAATTAAGCACAGTTTTATAGAACTCTCATTAAGAATCAGAATGTCCTTTTTGGTAGCAATTCAATCTATCCAATGTATTTTGTCTTACGCAAAAATCAAAGAAGCAGGCACCAACAGACAATAGTTGCACTGTATTAAAAGCTAGCCTGTTACTGTAACATAGCTCACTGCTTAACAGCAGTACAGAACCAGTTTGCAAAACCATAAAAAAAATATCAGTGTTTAGAAACTCTAATTTAGGAATTCTTCATCACAACCTTTTTCACAATGCCGATCTTTGCACCTTTGCTCCCCATCACCACCAGATGGATATTTTGTTCTATTATTGAAATGATTCATTCAATTTGAACCTCCGGGTTTCCACTCAGACTAAAAGCCTTATCATTATATTGACATTTCATCTCCTAATAACTTGAGCAGGTGCTCCCACTCCAATACACTATGCCAGACATTAAATTTCAGTATATGTGGAATTATTGGCAAATCTTTGAACAAATAAAGGCTAAGTTCTATGCAGCAGTCGGTCTCTTTGTTTTCCCCCAAAGAAACGTAGAACATTCTCATAGTGTAGTTATTTCTTCCAAATTGATGAAATATATTACTACTAAGAGGCTGCACACTATATATTATTTCAAAATGAAAATACATTTCAAAAGCAAAGTTTTCACTGTTTCCATAATTATACTTGCATTTATTTTTAAATGTTTTCATTAAGGTAAGAAAATCTCCCTTTTAAGATCTAATACTAAGCATAGTATTAGAAGATATCTTCTAATCACAATAAAATTATACTAGAAGAGATTTAATTAGCTTTCCTACATGCAGCACTATGTCAAACCAATATTACTACAGAAAATCAGGCTTGGATGGAAACTAAAAGGTGGTGGAGTTTGCATTCTTCATTGTTAAAAGTAAAATGCTCTCTGCCCTCAAAACCCAAACCACAGTATCTCCTACCAGGCAGAGCACCACTAACAATTTGTTATCCATTTCATACTTAACCTATTTGACATGAGAAGACAAAATGGTTCAAAGATATAACAGATATCTTGGGGAAAGCTTGGGAAAACTACGTCACAAATAAACCTTTTTATAATGAAATTTACCTAAATTTATATGCATTATGAACTATATAAACATATACATGTCTTGATACTCTTGGGATGCTTAATTGTAGTATTTAAAGAACAATACATTTTCATCACTTGATTCACAATGCATTTAATACAATAAAGCGTCTTGTCAAAATCTGTCACATCAAATAGGTATAGTGATTAACACAGTTTAGCCACAGTTAGATCTAGCTGCTTTCAACGGGGAAGGGTCATTTAAACCACAAGCTAATTATATGCATCGGCTGAGAGGTTACCTATCTTCCTTAAAAAAAAAAAAAAAAAAAGCACCAACACAACAAAAAACCTACAACACCTGGATTTAAAAAAAAAAAAAAAATGCTTTTCTTTTCTTTTTCTTGTTCCTCACTCAAGTGGACTCCAAGAAACATTGTCAATAGTGTTTACGCACACAAGAATAAGGTCAGTGGCTTATTACAACTCAGTTCTTGAAAAGGAATTTTAAAAACATGATTTTCAGGTTTTTCAACTCCTGAAGTAAAGTAAGATTTCAAGTGCTCTGAAGCGTACCCACTGAAATTGCAGCATAAGTCTTCTAAAGATCACAGAATGAAAAAATATTTAAATGGTTTAGTTCAGAGACTTTAGGACACAGAAGATAAGAATCTTTAGAAATTTTTCCCAAATAAAAAAATTGCTAGGTAAACCTAGCAAGAACTGAAGCTTGATAACAAAGTACCAAGAAACTGGATGTCTGAACAGGGTTGGGCTAATTCTGGAATGGTGAGGAGTGGCTGCAGCATCGCTCCTGGTTAGGCTGGTCTCCCATTAAAAGTAAGGCCCTGATCCTAGGAGCTATTCAAAATAAAAGGTTTCATTTACATAATGTACCTTGAAGAATCAAGGCTAATATTTTTCAGATATGACCATGGAGAGAAATGGGAAAGACATTTTCTACTACTTTTGCAATTCTTCCACAAAGACAATTCGGGATATGTTGCCCTGAATTAAGACAGAAAACAAATAACAGCAACATCATCGTCACTGAAACAGAGAAAAGAAAAATGAAGAAGCACTAACCATTCTGTGCAACTTAGCTACATGAAACAGATTCAGAAAAGAAAGAGGAAGAAGAAATGGACATTAACACTTGACACAAGACATGATGAGAACTGAAGTCCCCATTCCTTCCTTCAGTTTAAATCCTTTAAATCCACGAAAATTACAGCAAGAAAGCATGGTCTTTTAGTTGCTGTAAGTTAGGCTAGCGCAAAGGGATATTTTCTGGAAATACCTGTTCTTTAAGAATCAAAACCAAAACCAAACAAAACGCCTGCAGTTAAACTTTTCCCAGTTGTTATAGCTTCAGACATATTTGTCAATAATGATTTTCACAACACTATTTCAAACCTTAATTTTAATTTTTTAAACCTTAAATAGAAGAGAATGAAGAAAAGGTGAAATAGGAGAATGGGCGTAGAGTAATAATAAACAGGTTGGATCCCTGAACTTTAACACCACATTTAACACACATTATCTAGAGAATGTTTGTTTTCATGAATAACTAAGTGGAAAACCATGATAGATGCATATATCCATAATTATTTGCAAAAACTGCCTTATATTTTAAGTTGGATGAAAATTATGAAAGACTTTTGAGAACTGAGCTTGACTCCTTTCCTTTTAACCAGAAGTTTTGAGGATGGGCTAGTTTTAAGTATTCTGAAATGACTGAAACACTCTGAAAAGACCAAAACACAGATACCGCATCAATGTTTTAGATCTTTGCAATTCTCTTCTTTCTGTTGGAACTATATATCCACTATTTAAAACAACGTAAGTTTCAGACTTCAGAATCTGTTTTTATCCTGATCACAAGTATCCTGCTGTTTGTAATAAACACATTTATGTAATAAACACATTATGTAATAAACACATTTATGCCTGCTATACATGAAACATTCTAGAACGCAATCTGGCCGCTGTCGTTAGAGAAAAAGTTTTTACAAATATATTAATGAAAAGTGAAAAGCCAAGGAGAATCTCCATCCTTTATTGGATGCGGGGGGGAACACTG